AGCAGTAGTCATTGCCAAAGCCAACGACCAGTTGGGCACAAAATACAATTGATTGTTAATTGGGAAATTGGCAAATTTTTAGGCTTAAGTTGACTCTTTTGACGATAAAATCAAGCTTTCGGCATTCTCTATGGAGCCTTCATCAGGATTTCGTCGTTGAGGTTGCCGCCACAAGGTGTTTCAGAACGAACGTAGAGAAGATAGAACTTGTAATCGGTATAAAAACAAACGGACGCGGACATTGGGCTTGTTGAAAACGACAGATACCTTCGTTACATGTTAAAAATATCAATCCACCCGAACAAATTGAAAATTATTACACGTGAGAAGACAAAGGTAAAAAAACTCTCAGCTCCTGATGAAGGCTCCTTAATGAATTGCCGAAAGCTAGAGATTATCGTCAAAAGAGTCAACTTGAGCCTAAAAATTTGTCAATTTCCCAATTAACAATTAATTGTGTATATATATATATATATATATAGTATCCATAGTTACTTGCCTTAACTGTTAAGATATCCTTTAATTTCTTTGGTTAGAAGGAAAAGTATTGCAAAAGTACACTCTTAGTCGACGAATCCATAATCAATCAACGCCTAATTTTAAATAAAACCTTTCAAAATGATTTGCCGTTTAATAATGAAGTGATTCCGTCCTAATCGAACCTCATCGGTCCAGTTTTTTATTCGTCGACTATGTGTTCCCTTCACTGTTGTTTAAAAAACAATTTCAGCAACAATCTCGTCGACTTAGTACGTAAATATTTTTCTCCTAATTGCTATTAGTTGCTATTTTAATAATTGTTTCCAGCTCCAGACGATGAAGACAAAATTCTTCGAAAGCTTGAGAATTTAAGTTATAAGAGTGTACTTTTGCAATACTTTGTCTTCTACCCAAAGAAATTAAAGGATATATATATACAGGGTGACTTCGAAGTTGAGTCATTTATTTCAACAGTGAGTAGATCTGATCAAAAGAAATGTTTTTTTCCTTTACCATTTTTCTGGTAAAATTAAAGTAACAAGGTTATAGCCCTTTGGAAGTTTGAGTACCGCCCTGTCTCAATAATAATATTATGTGCTCGTGTTTGGCGACAACGGATATAATCCGCCGTATCGGTTCATCGCATCGGAAACAAAAAAGCGAAAGAATTTGGAACGATGTTTTTACAATTATTTCATTCATTTGTATACAGTCAGTGTCAGTGAATAGTGGTATCTGTTGCGTGGCTCAAACGAAATAAAAAATGGCACATGTTTATGCGGATCGGTTTCCCAATCGAGTGCAACCAACCCCTCGTGCCTTTGTTAATGTAGTACAACGGGCTCGTGAATCAGGTGACTTAAGACCTCACAGGGGACCTCACGATCAAATACAGGTCCGCACTCAAATACTTGTCGGGAGGGTACTTTATAAAACAAGGTAAACATTTTTTTTTAATTTTTTTTTTATTTTTACACACATATTTTGGTTTATCTTCCTTCTACAATCATTATCTGAAAATTAATGACTCAACTTCAAAGTCACCCTGTATATATATATATATATATATATATATATACAGGGTGTCCCAGAAGTCGACGTCAAGCCGAAACCGGGTGATAGGCAAAGTCATAACAGCTATCAGAAAAATATTTAAAAAAATTTTATGTATGTGTTTTGAAAATTATAGGTATTTGAAAAAGATATAGAAATTTCACACCCTACGGCAGTCTGTCAACTCCGGTTACTACAAATATTAACTTTTTTTGGATTTTATTTTTACAATGTAATGATGAATAATGCATCTTCAAACTGGTGTCTCAACCTTACTGCCAACATTTCTCGTTCAGGAAAAATTGCCACTTATTTCCCAACCAAGTATTCCAAAGTAAAACTTTGCTCAACTTTAACTGGCTGTACTGGAAAAAAATGTACTACGAGAGTTTGGCAAGTAACCTTAAAAGTTGGCGCATTTAAAGCGATTCCAAAATGGTATAACACTTCGAAGATTACTCGTTAACTTATGCACAATTTTTATTTGAAGAAAAACTGATGAAAATTTTTCAAAATTTCCTAATTAAACAGCGATTATAAAAACGCACAAGGACCCTTAAGGATAACTGTTTGCACAACAGTGGGCGTCAAAATGCTGCTGATGGTCATTTACCTTTACAGCAAATGCTCAAACTGTTTTCCTTCAGCCGCAATACACGCTCGACATCTTCTTAAAAAAGATCGGGTTATTAAACGAGCGAATCCACGGTTATTAACAAACTCAGCTGCTTCCAATAGTCTTTGCCGTAGCTCAGCTACATTTTGAATCGGCTTGAAATACACTTTTTCTTTTACTGTTCCCCAGTAAAAAAATCTAAAGGATTCAAATCAGGTGATCGGACTGGCCACGGTATTGTACCAGACCGCCTTATCCATCTGCCTGGAAAGTTTTGATCGAGATACCCTCTCACTGAGAGTGCATAGTGCGCTGGGCAGCCATCATGATGAAACCACATGTCCCTGTAAATACTCAGTGGCACGTCCACCAATAAATTTTGTACATGATTTTTCAAAAAATCCAAATAAACTTCAGCAGTCAAAGTCTCTGGGAGCTCAAGCGGACCGATTATTTTACCATTTAAAATTCCTGTCCAATGGTTTATCTTGAAGCGATATTGAGATTTATCTTCTCTCATCAAATGTGGGTTTACTACGTGCCACTCGTGTAAGTTATGCAGGTTCATGTACCCATCTTTCTTAATTGTGGTCTCATCCGACCATAAAATTTTTTCAATGAACTGTGGATCTTTCCTGTGTCTTTCTAACATTGTGCGACAAAAAGCAACTCGGGGCTCATAATCCCGGGGCAGGAGAGGTTGAACATGCTGTATGTGGTATGGATGAAGCACATCACTTACTTGCTATTGCGCACTTTGATACCGATCAGTACTCCTTCGTTTACTGCGCATCTTCACATGTTCGTGCTTGTTGATTTCGTACGTTTACTAACTTTGGATTCGTGAACTGGACTGTTGATCGCTTGTGATTTGGATTTGGACTGTTTAATTGCTCTTCAAAACAACATTTGCTTTCCTTAGACTATCTTTGATAGTGTGATTGTGCAGTGCCGCTATGTCCGTGTACACCGTACAAGAATATGCTAACATGCACCTCATTTATGGGGAATGCAGATGCAACGCTAGTGCTGCAGCGAGACTTTACTGTGAGAGGTACCCGAATGCAGCTCGTCATCCAGATCATCGAGTGTTCACAAATGTGCACCGCTTACTGTTCTCAGAGGGCCAACTACCAAACCAATCACACGGTGAGGGAAGATCTTTCCTTCCTTACGAAGACGTGGTGCTAGGAGCTGTCGAAGAAGACCCGAGTACTTCAGTGCGTGCAATAGAACTAAAAACAGGTGTGCCCAAAAGTACAGCCCATAGAATCTTGCAAAAAAACGTGCTCCATCCATACCACGTACAGCGTGTTCAAGCTCTTCTGCCCCGAGATTATGAGCCCCGAGTTGCTTTTTGTGGCATTGTGCATAAGTTAACGAGTAATCTTCTAAGTGTTATACCATTTTGGAATCCTTATTAAATGCGCCAACTTTTAAGGTTAGTTGCCAAACTCTCGTAGTACATTTTTTCCACTACAGCCAGTTAAAGTTGAGCAAAGTTTTACTTTGGAATACTTGGTTGGGAAATAAGTGGCAATTTTTCCTGAACGAGAAAAGTTGGCAGTAAGGTTGAGACACCAGTTTGAAGATGCATTAGTCATCATTACATAAAAATAAAATCCAAAAAAGGTTAATATTTGGAGTAACAGGAGTTGACAGACTGCCGTAGAGTGTGAAATTTCTATATTTTTTCCAAAGACTTATAATTTTCAAAGCACATACATAAAATTTTTTTAAATATTTTTCTGATAGCTGTTATGACTTTGCCTATCACCCGGTTTCGGCTTGACGTTGACTTCTGGGACACCCTGTATATATATATATATATATATATATATATATATATATTTTGTGTATCTCTCTCCCAGGTGACACTTCGTTTGTTCTTTCCTTTCATTTTTATATTTCTATACAGTGCCTTACTACAATGGCCCGAAAGGTCTTGTAACATGCTGAGTATTTAATTTTGAAATGGCACCGCGCAAAACCAGTGCTACCTAGGGTAGACATTGCGTTCCCAAAAGACTTCCAGCCCACCAAAGCAACAAGCAGGCATAAGGATATCTGTCGTTTTTCAATATAGCAGACACGATACCCTCGTGCATCGTCCCGAAAACGCCAAAACTCCTCTGAAAACCCAAAAACCTACCCAGAACTATTGTTGTAAGACACCGGTTGATTGTTACGCAATCTTCGACTAAAACCATGGGATGAGTTTCAGATGTTACATAATTGTTTAATTGAGAACGCCATGCTTCCGATACGAACGATTATATTACTTACTCGTATGCTTTGTTGATGGATCCTGTAAGGTCAATCGCGCGAAAAATATAGACAACATGATACGC